AATGTTCACCTTAAATCTAAATGCTTCACCAAAAATCAATTATTGATCTAATCTTAAGCATTCATATAGATATTAATAAATCCACATCTAAATCTGTAATCTAAATTCAAATACCGAATCCTAATGTTAAATCTTAATCTCAATAATTTTAAATATAAATCTAAATACTTGATGTTGAACTATGATATCAAAATCTCAATCTAAATGTAGTGATATCCAAATGTTTAATCTTAACCTCTTAATCCTAAAATTTAATCTCAGTAAAACCTCAAAAACAAAATGTTAAATCTAAAGCTGAATGCTTGATTAAAAACATTATACCACTTCAGATTAATACAGCTAAATATGAAATGGAATCCAAATGTTAAACCTAGTTCCTAATTCTTGATCCAAACCCTAAATAATATATTAAGAAATACATTTCTTTACATCAAAAAGTAAAAATCTTGAATGAAATTATTAAACAAAAGACAAATTGTTAATCTTAATAAAATTAACATACGTAAATCTCAAATAAAATATAAAAAAATAATTCTTAATTATAAATCTACATTTAAATGTTCACCTTAAATCTAAATGCTTCACCAAAAACTCAATTATAATCTAATCTTAAGCATTAATATGGATATAAATAAATCTACATCTGAATCTGTAATCTAAATTCAAACACCGAATTTTAATGTTAAAGCTGAATCTCAATAATTAACCTAATCTCAATTTTAAATATAACTCTAAATGCTTCATTTTGAACTATGGTATCAAAATCTCAATCTAAATGTTATTCAATTGTAATGTTAAATTTAAACCTCTTAATCCTTATACTTACTCTCAGTAAAACCTCTAAGACAAAAAATTAAATCTAAAACTGAATGCTTAATTAAAACTATTTTACCACTTCAAAGTAATACAGTTTAGTATGAAATGGAATCCAGATGTTAAACCTAGTTCTTAATGCTTGACCCAAACCCTGAATAAAATATCTAGATCTAATTGACAAATCAAATAGTAAAAATCTAAAATTTAGTGATGGAACAAAAGCCAAATTATTAATTTAAATAATTAACCAATCTTAATCTAAAATAAAATATAAAAAACAATTCTTAATAATAAATCTACATTTAAATGTTCACCTTAAATCTAAATGCTTCACGAAAAACTCAATTATAATCTAATCTTAAGCATTAATATGGATATAAATAAATCTACATCTGAATCTGTAATCTAAATTCAAATACCGAATCTGAATGTTAAAGCTGAATCTCAATAATTAACCTAATCTCCATTTTAATATAAATCTAAATGCTTCATTTTGAACTATGGTATCAAAATCTCAATCTAAATGTTATTCAATGGTAATGTTAAATTTAAACCTCTTAATCCTTAGATTTACTCTCAGTAAAACCTCTAAAACAAAATGTTAAATCTAAAACTGAATGCTTAATTAAAACTATTTTACCACTTCAAAGTAATACAGTTTAGTATGAAATGGAATTCAAATGTTAAACCAAGTTCTTAATGCTTGACTCAAACCCTAAATAAAATATCTAGATCTAATTGATAAATAAAAAAGTAAAAATCTAAAATTTAGTGATGGAACAAAAGCCAAATTATTAATCAAAATAATTAAATCTAAATCTAAAATAAGATATAAAATCAATTCTTAATAATAAATCTACATCTAAATGTTCACCTAAAATCTAAATGCTTTACTAAAAACTCAATTTTATATCTAATCTAAATATAAATATAGGTCTAATTACATCTAAATCTGTAATCCAAATTCAAATACTAAATCTTATTGTTAAATTTTAATGTCAATAATTAATCTTAATCTCAGTTTTAAATGTAAATCTCATTACTTCATTTTGAACTATGATATCAAAATCTCAATCTAAATGTAATGATATCCAAATGTTAAATCTAAACCTCTTAATCCTAAAACTTAATCTCAGTAAAACCTCTAAAACAAAATGTTAAATCTAAAGCTGAATGCTTGATTAAAACCATAGACTGTATATACTATGGACAACTTGGTTCCGCCTACCGCCTGTATACAGCTTTGAAGCTAAAAAGCTCTCGGTATTTCAGGGATTTTTCTTAATTTCCTGAAACCAACGCTGTGCAGTTGCGATGTGCGCATTCGACCGCGCAGTCGCCGAGAGTCGCTGTGATGACGCTTGGCTCAAATACCGTATCCCCCCGGGTGAGCTACACAATCCCTGAACGCCCATAGGCTGTATCAGGTGTCAATATAGAAAACTTGAACCCCCTAATAACTTTTAAAAACTTCACAAAAAAAGAGGAATTGAGCACAAACCAGTCTTACTGTAACTACATGTCAACATCACAAGCAGAGGGGAGAAAAATTTATGTTCTGTGTAATAAATTTCTAAAGTTCGTCCACAGCTCCATAAACTATGCTGGCGGAGGCGGGATTTATGACCTATACTGCAGCCCATCAACAGAGGGTGCTGTTCTCGGAGTGGCTTCACCCAGCGAGGAGGCAGACTCTGTCCATTCTATATACAGTCTATGATTAAAACCATTATACCACTTCAGATTAATACAGCTAAATATGAAATGGAATCCAAATGTTAAACCTAGTTCTAAATGCTTGATCCAAACCCTGAATAATATATTAAGAAAGAAAAATTTTAAATCAAAAAGTAAAAATCTAAAATGCAATGATGAAACACAAGTCAAATCATTCATCTTTAAAAACATTATATATCTAGATATAAAATTAAATATAAAAATTAATTCTTATATATGAATCAACATATAAATGTTCAACTTAAATCTAAATGCTTCACAAAAAATTCAATTATAAACCTAATCTTAAATCTTGATACAGATACAAATAAATTTTAACTATAATATCAAAATCTCAATCTAAATGTTATTAAATCGTAATGTTAAATCTAAACCTTAATCCCAAAACTTAATCTCTAAAAAACCTCCAAAACAGAATGTTAAATCTAAAAATAAATGGTTGAATAAAACCATTATAACACTTCAGATTAATACAGCTAAATATGAAATGAAATCCAAATGTCAAATCTAGTTCTAAATGCTTGACTCAAACCCTGAATAAAATGTCTAGATCTAATTGATAAATAAAAAAGTAAACATCTAAAATTTAGTGATGAAACAAAAATCAAATTATTAATCTAAATAATTGACAAATCTAAATCTAAAATAAAATATAAAAATCAATTCTTAATAATAAATCTACATCTAAATGTTCAACTTAAATCTACTCAACTTTAACTGCTGGAAACTATATTACCAGAAAAACGTGAGTAAGAAGTTGCTTAGAGAGAGGTCCCAGTCTGTGTTTAACAGAAGAGTGTTGACAATCAAAACAACAACAACCACCACAAACAACAAAAAACACATGCTGCTGTTTTTCTTCTTGTAAACGGCCTGGTTTAGAAGGAAAGAAGGCTTGAGCAGAGGTGGACAACCATGTGCCATGGAGAGCTGAGAGGCTGCAGGTTTTCTTTCCAACCCAAAACTCCACCAGGTGATTTCATTGATTACCTTACCTCCAAGCAGAGAGCAGGGACTAATCAGTGAAATCACCTGGTGGAGTTTTGGGTTGGAAAGAAAACCTGCAGCCTCTCAGCTCTCCATGGCACATGGTTGTCTAACCCTGGGGCCTGTTCTACGAAGCAGGATTACTGCTTAGCGAGGTAACTTCGAGGGTAAGTTCGGGGTTTCCTGTTCTACGACGCGGGTTCACTTCTTAGCGAGGTGAGTCTCCATGGCAACGTACGCTGAACGGCTAACCTGCTCCGGGGCAGGTTAGGTTCCAGATTGAACTCACCAAGTATAAAAACCCCGCCCACTGACCAATGAGCTCTCTCGAAAAGGATCCTATAGACCTCAGTGCTCGTATTGTCCGAGGAGCACTCCGGCGCGCGAGAGTTTTCAGAGACCGCACAGACCCACTTATTTTTCCGGATGACCACTTTTATAAAAGGCTCATATGGCCTACATATCACACAAGAAATGTTAACACGATAGGAATGAACAAATGAATGAATTCATCTTGGAAATAAATTAGACATGTCTGGTGCATGATAAAAGCGCATGTTAAACAGTGCTATTTCAGGGTGATAATGGCATCAAAGATTTTTTGCGCACTATACTTCCGCATTGAGACTGTCAGCAATTTTCTGCCAGCATTCCTTCCGTGCTTTTGCAGTGACGACATTGTTGCTTTTGAGGTTTTTGATAGATTTGAATTTTTCATACTTTCTCATGATCGGCTCCTGCTCCTCGTTTGTAAAGTACGTAGTTCTTGGCTCTCCAGCCTGCTCTGACGCTCCAGACTGGTCCATGTTCGCGATTGGTCAGATGCGGTGGGCTTCGCCTTACATGTGTGCACGCGCTCATAGCAAAGCTGGATCCACTTATGAGGTTGATCACCAGCGTCGTAAGACCGTTTAGCGAGACCGCTGGCTACCACGCTAAGTCGAGCGAGGTAGCTCCAAGGCTACCTCGCTAGGTTGAACCTGCTTCGTGGAATAGGCCCCTGGGCTAGAGCATGTTGTGACTTTACACTTTTGAAACCAAATACCTATTAGTGCATGTATTTATTCATTAAAGTGTATTTATTTTCTAAATTATTTATTTAAAATATTTTGACTTGCAGCCTATGCAGACATTTTTCAAATAATCATACATTAATCATAATAGAGGTAAAAAGTTCATTTAATCTTGATTTAGATTTTCTCCATTATCGCCCAAACACTGATGCAGTTTAGCGATGAAAATAAAGGAGAAGAAGGTGAAAGAGACAACCAATTAAAGCAATGTATTACTCTTGTGGTACATGAAGGACAATGTAGGCTAACATGTAGTTCCATGTATAGGTTAAGTAGTACCCCCTGACCCCCATTCACCGAATCAGTTTGGTCTTATTGACTTCCCGTCCCCAGTAAAAAATGTAGGGGGGAGGGTGGAGGGGTGGAGAAGATCTTGTAGGTAGGGGGGGCCTGGTTGTGGACTGCTTTGTGGGTGAGAAGGAGGATTTTGTACTGAATGCGATGGGGGATGGGGAGCCAGTGAAGGTTCTGGAGGACGGGGGCGATGTGTTGGTGGGAGCGTGTATGGGTGAGGAGACGGGCGGCAGAGTTCTGGATGAGCTGAAGTTTATTGAGGAGAGTGGAGGTAGTGCAATGGAGGAGACTGTTACAATAATCTAGACGAGATGAAATGAATGCATGTATGAGGGTTTCAGCTGCAGGGTAGGAGAGGGAGGGGCGGAGGCGGGCAATGTTTTTGAGGTGGTAGTAGGCTGTTTTGGTGATTTGCTTGACGTGCTAGGTGAAGGAGAGGTTGCTGTCGAAGAGAATACCAAGGTTGCGACAGTGGGGGGAGGGTAGGGTTGCCAACTCCAAGAGATTGAGAAAAGGGACAGTTAATCTGCCGAAAATTTTTTGGTGTCCCTCATAAAATTTGGGTGTCCCTTATTTCAGGCCGAGAAATGTGGGGATATGTGCATACAAAAAAAATAATAGTCACAGTTATACAATCATCATGCCTAATATGTTACACCAAGTCCTATTCATAAACCAAGTAAATGCAATTAGATAAAGTAAATGCAACTAGAATAAGCGACCCAAGGCATGTACACAAACATAACCATAAATTAAACCTTAATTTATAGACAGACTACACAAGAAACATTATCAATGTATCATTGAAGAATTTATTGTGTGCAAAATAATAATAATTCTTCATGGAACATATGGTGCAATGTCACCATATTGAAACAATGTTTGACTTATTCAAGAAGTCAAAGTGCAAACACTTTATTACAGTTAACCTTAATTATATAACCTCCTTAAAATATTACAAACTAAAACATCACAAGGAGCGTCACGTTTTAGTTCATTATGGGACATGTCTTTTTGTTTTCAAATACGGTACGATCCCGTTTTTTACGGTACGGTTGGGAACCCTAGGGGAGGGGGAGAGGGTGGAGTTGTCAATGGAGAGATGAAAGTCTGTGACTGTGGAGGTGAGGGAGTTTGGGCCGATGATGAGGAGATCTGTTTTGTCATAGTTTTTTGTCATAGGTTGCTGTCCATCCAGTGTTTGACATCAGAGAGGCAGTTTGAGGGGGAGTGTTGGGTCTGGGGGGTGATGGAGGTGGAAGAGATGTACAATTGAATGTCATCAGCATAGCAGTGGAAGTGGAGATTGTGTTGACGGAGGATGTGGCCAAGAGGGAGGAGGTAGATGATGAAGAGGAGGGGACCAAGCACCGAACCCTGGGGGACACCTTGGGACACGGGGGCAGTTGTGGAGGAGCAGTTGTTGATGTGGATAAAGTGATTCCGGTCTGTGAGATATGAGTGGATCCAGTTGAGAGCGGTGTCTGTGATATTGAGGAGGGAGTGTAGGCGGGACAGGAGGATGGCATCGTCGATGGTGTCAAAAGCGGCGGCGAGGTCAAGGAGGATGTGGATGGAGAGTTGTCTGGAGTTAGCAGAAATGAGGAGGACATTGGTGACTTTGATGAGGGCAGTTTCGGTGCTGTGGTGGGTGCGGAATCCTGATTGAAACAGTTCGTAAAGATTGTTATTGTTGAGGTGGGCTTTGATTTGTGATGCAATGACACGTTGACACGGATTTGCGCCAGGAAAGGGAGGTTGGAGATGGGCCGGAAGTTGTTGATGTCGTCAGGGTTGAGTCCAGGTTTTTTTAAGGATGGGGGTGACAGTGGCCAGTTTGAGTGAAGGGGGAACAGTGGCGGAGTTGAGGGAGGAGTTGATGATCTGTGTGATGATGGGAGAGATGACGGGGAGGCAGTGCTTAATGAGGGAGGATGGGATGGGATCCAGGTTGCAGGTGGATGATGACATGGAGCAGATGATGTCGGTCACGTCGGTTGGAGAAACAGGTGAGAAGCGGGAGAGTGCTGATGGGATGAGGGGAGGAGGGGAGTAGCTGGGAATGGAGGGTGGGGGAAGGGAGTTGTAGATTGTGTTGATTTAGGGTGGAAAAAGGAGAGGAATGAGTTGCGCTTTTCCGGGGTGAAGGTGATGGAGATGCTGTCTATGGGGTTGAGCAGTTTTTTGACCATGGAGAAAAGAGCCTTTTGGTTACTGGAGCCGGAGTGGATGAGGTTGGAGTAATAGGAAGAACGGGCGGAGTTGAGGGCTGTTCTGTACAGGTGGAGATGGTCAGTGTAGGCTTGGAGATGGACGGTGAGGCCGGTTTTGCGGTAGAGACGTTTCAGTTGGCGTTTGTGTGATTTCATTTTGTGCAGTTCTGAGGTAAACCAGGGGGCAGAGTGTCTGAATGAAACTGTTCTTGTTTTGAGAGGTGCGAACTGATCCAGGCAGGAGGATAGAGTGTTATTGTAGTAGTTGAGTAGGTCAGCAAGTTTAGCAGATGGTGGGGGAGGGGAGGAGGGGATACAGTGAGGGTGGCAGATAAGGAAGCAGAGAGGTCCTGAGGCGAGATGGATTTGAGGTTTCTGAAGGAGATGTGTCGTTTTTCACTGTGAAGCATGGGGGGGGGGTCTGGACGCTGAAAGTGACAGCCAGGTGGTCAGATATATAGAGGTTGATGGTGGAGAAATGGTGGATATGCTTGTTTGCAGGTGGGGTTGTCAGTGTGAAAGTTGAAGTCTCCAAGCAGCAGGACAGAGGATGAGATTGTACTTAGGTGGGTGACAAAGTCAGAGAAATCAGAGAGGAATGATGGGTGGGGCTTTGGAGGGCGGTAGTTGGTGTAATGACCAGAGTGGTGGGGCCGGGGAGTTTGACGGAAATATTTTCAAATGAGTGGACAGACGAGGTGGGGACGGGGGTGGTCTTGAAGGTCTGTTTGTGGATGAATGCGACGCCACCACCTTGCCAGTGAGGTGGGGTTGGTGCAGGTAGGAGTATCCGGGGGGCGTGGCTTGGTTGAGTGGAAAGACATCAAGATGGTTGTGCCAGGTTTCAGTTAGGCAGAGGAAGTCCAGGTTATTATCTGTTATGAAGTCAGCCAGGATGTGTCCTTTGTTACTGAGGGAGCGGGTGTTTTGAAGGGAGGATCCAGTAGTTGTAATTATTTGAATGAAGAAGCTGTGACGAGATCCTGGGGCCTGTTGGTGGAGCTGTTTGGGGCGGGAGGGGGAGCTTGCTGTAGTGGCGGCGATGGGATTGGTGTGCAGTACCAGTTGGGGCCTGTTGGTGGAGCAATGAGTGGTGAGGTGTGTGTGCGTGGGGACCGTAGAGGAAGGGGGCAGTTTCCAGGTTTGGAATGTCAATAGTCAATCGCATGTTGGATGGTTGTGAACTGCATGTTGAATGTTGGCTGTTAAAATCCTACTTCCTAGCATGTTTGGGTGTAGACCGTCCTGTTTGAAAAGTGGTTTGCGGTTCCAGAAAAGATCAAAGTTACTGATGAAGTGGAGCAGTTTGGAGTTACAGGTAGACTGAAGCCAGCTGTGGAGGGAGAGGATACGGCTAAAAAGTCCATATCCACTGCTGAGAGGTGCGAGTGGGCCACTGACGAAAATGGTTTTTCCGGTGTTTTTGAGGAGGTGAAAAAGTGCAGTAAAGTTAATTTTTGTGATTTCAGAGTGTCGACGGGAGGCATCGACACAACCGACGTGGACAATAATTCTGTGGACGGATGGGGGGAGTGATTTTAGAATGTCTGGGAGTTTTGTCAGTATGGACTGCACAGATGCACCGGGAAAACAGTGCCTCAAGGCGTTGAAGAACCGGACGTTTCTTGTGATGGAGTCGCCGATGATGAGAGTGGTCCGGGGGAAAAGTGGACGAGGAGTTTGGCTGAAAAGAGGAGATTTAGGGGGCGATGCAGTTGGTGTTGTAGCGATATGAACCTCACACGGCCGCACCAAAATAATACGGTTTGAAATGAGCCTCACACGGTCGCACCAAAATAATACTGTAGCGATTTGAATTTATAATAAATGTCTGAAGATTAATAATCTCAAATTATGACATTTATGCACTCGTTGAAAGGGGCACCACCCACCCTTAATGGTGGGAAAATAAAGAAAACAAAAGTTTAATTCAGAAATCAAACATCAAGTCAGTTTTAATTAATCAGTCTCATATCTTAAGCCGAAATTCTCATTTCAGGGACTCCACTTCTGGAAGAACACTAACAGACAAGAACTTAGAAAAATAATGATCTGTTTATTACAGGATAAATGATGGTACAACATACATGCAATAAATGATGATAAGATAATAAGGATAAATAATAATAGGTGAATAAATAAAGATTCTGAGTCAGGCTAGGAGCACTAAAGTTAATGATAGTGAGTGAATATGCGCTAACATATTAACCTACACTAACTTTGGTGTCGAGATAAACTCGGATGTGGATTGGAGGAATCTAAGATTACCAGAATAAGTGGATATCTGAGTTATGAATGCATGAGACAGCACCAGCCCTCTTTGGAGCTCTGGAGGTTTGCATACTTAAGTGAGACTGGTCCTTGGAGAAGATGGAGCAGCTTCGGAAGGTCCAGGGCTACCGACGGTTCAGCTCAGAAGACGACTGAAGTCAGCCGAAGGATGGGCCTGGAGTTGTAGCACTCGGGCCTGAAGTAAAGCCGGCGCCTGTGGATCCTGTGGATGCTCGTTTGGTCGCTTCCTTGGTCTCACTCAAAAAAACTCTGGCACAGAGGATGACCTGGGCCTGCTGGGTTGCGTTCAGAGGTGACTTTGAAATCACGCAGATAACTCAGATAAACAAGGTTCTATGAGTAGAGATAACTTTCAAAAATGGCTTCGCGAAATTAAAGAAAAATCAATCAAAGGCTTAATCTTGAATTGCTATGCGCACAAAAAGTTGAAGTTTCAAAACTTGAACTAAGATGATGTTAAAGAAAAATCAACGCGTGGCGTAAAACTTAGAAGACTAAGAAAAGTTCTAAGAGAAAACAAAGAAGAGGAAGGGTACAAGAGTAAGGGGACAAGAGAGTGGACAAGAGAGATAAGAGCAACCCCACTTCACTGGTTTTATCTTCTCACACTGGGAGTGTCTCCGTCTGTAGTCTTGATTGCTACAGTGTAGGAGAGTGTTGTGACAGTTCAGTACATTGGCTGTTGTTCAGCGTTACCGTGGGCTCTGGTGCAGGCGGGTGGGTGATGGTGTTGGGACCTACCGGCACATCGGCAGTAGAGGCGGACCCGGCGGAGTTTCTCCGGACTGCCTCCCTTAGCAGTGTCCGTCGGGCAGCACTTGTCGGCCCTGTGATGTTTGTTCGGGTAGCCGGGCGGGAGCGAGAGTCATTCCGCACTCTAGCTGGCGCCGGCGGGGAGGCTGGACCCCAGTCAGAGCCGGGCTGCACACAGATGCCGCTGCTCATCAGCAGGGAGGCCGACTTTGCGCCAGCGTACAGCGGCGCCCCCACCCCGCCGGCAGCAGGCGGGGAGGTCCGCTCAGCGAGTACAGGGAACTCATCGACGGTAGGCCGAGGCAGAGGCCCAGAGGCTCTGCCGGACCTGTTTGCCGATGGTCCGAGGTCCGTTGAGGAGGAGGCTCCTTCCACTGAACCATCCCAGCCGGCACCAGGCGAAGAGGTGGTGGTGGTCGTCGTAGGAGGGTTTCCCGGCTCGGATAAGGCCTCGAGCCGGCTTGAAAGGGCCACCAGGCGGACCACGACCTAGGACCAGGATGGGTGTGAGTGTGTGGTGTGGACGTAGGCCATGGGCTGACTGGTTCCCAAGGCAGTGTGTCATGGAGGGAGGTCTGAAGTGCTGAGATGGCACGGGATTGTCAGATGGCGACATCCATGTAGGAGGTGAGTAATGCCGATTTTGTCTTTAACTCCTCCAACAATTGTGAAGTTCTTCCCTCAGGCTAGTAATTGTGCTTTTGGCCCGGTTGAGCTTGGATGTGAATGCGGGAGGCGTCGAACTCATGTAGGCGTCGAACTCATGTATCAGAGCGGCCGCCATCTTAGCACTCTTGGGCGAAAAAAAAACGTTGAGACTAAACCTACACCCTTGCCCTGAGGACATCCTTTACAAAGTCTACAACTTTGTTGACAAGGCTCAGACCTCTCAACATAACAAAGGCAAGGAAAGACAAAAAGGAAAAATCTAAAATTTTGTGATGAAACAAAAGCCAAATTATTTATTTAAATAATTAACAAATCTTAATCTAAAATAAAATATAAAAATCAATTCTTAATAATAAATCTACATCTAAATGTTCAACTTAAATCTAAATACTTCGCCAAAAACTCAATTATGAATCTAAAATATAAATATATGTCTAAATAAATCTACATCTAAATCTGTAATCTAAATTCAAATACCAAATCTAAATTTTAAATCTTAATCTTAATAGTTAATCATAATCTCAATTTTAGATAGAAATCTAAATACTTCATCTTAAACTATAATATCGAAATCTCAATCTAAATGCGATTTAATCTCTATGTAAATCTAAACCTCTTAATCCTAAAACTTAATCTCAGTAAAACCTCTTAAACAAAATGTTGAATTTAAAGGTGAATGCTTGATTAAAACCATTATACCACTTCAAAAAAATACAGCTAAATATGAAATGGAATCCAAATGTTAAGGCTAGTTCTAAATGCTTGACCCAAACCCTGATTTATATAGCAAGAAAGAAACATTTTAAATCAAAAAGTAAAAATCCAAAATGTAATGATGAAACAAAAGCCAAATTATTAATCTTAATAAAATTAACATATCTAATTTAAAATTAAATATAAAAATAAATTCTTAATATCAAATCTATATCTAAATGTTCACCTTAATTTTAAAAACCTCACAAAAAACTCAATTATAACTTTAATCTTAAAATGTAAATGTAGGCTTATATAAATCTGAAACTGGAACTGTAATCAACAATTCAAACACCAAATCTAAATGTTAAATGTTAAATGTTAAATCTTAATCTTAATAATTAATCCTAATCTCAATTTTAGATATAAATCTAAATGCTTCACTTTAAACTATGATATCAAAATCTCGATCTAAATGTTATTAAATTGTGATGTTAAACCTAGTTATAAATGCTTGTCCCAAACCCTGAATAATATATTTAGAAAGAAACATTTTAAATCAAAAAATAAAAATCTAAAATGTAATGATGAAACAAAAGACAAATTATTTATCTTAATTCAAGTTATAAATTTCAATCTAAAACTACATAAAAAAATCAATTCTTAATTACCAATCTACATCTAAATGTTCAACTTAAATCTAAATGCTTTACAGAAAACTTAATTATAAATCTAATCTTGAATTTAAATATAGGTCTCAATAAATCAACATCTAAATCTGTAATCTAAATTCAAATACCAAATCTTAATTTTAAATCGTAATCTCAAAAATTAACCTTATCTCAATTTCAAATATAAATCTAAATGCTTCATTTTAAACTATGATATCAAAATCTCAATCTAAATGTTTTTAAAATGTTATGTTAAATCTAAACCTCTTGATCCTAAAACTTAATCGCAGAAAAACCTCTAAAACAAAATGTTTAATCTAAAGCTAAATGGTTGATTTAAACCATTATACCACTTCAGGTTCATACAGCTAAATATTAAATGGACTCCAAATGTTAAACCTAGTTCTAAATGCTTGATACAAATCCTGAATAATATATCTCGATCTAATTGATAAATCAAAAAGTAAAAATCTAAAATTTTGTGATGAAACAAAAGCGAAATTATTAATCTAAATGAAAGTAACAAATCTAAATTAAATATAAAAATCAATTCTTAATAATAAATCTACATCTAAATGTTCAACTTAAATCTAAATGCTTTGAGGGGGCTGGTTGACCAATCAGAATCAAGTATTTAACACAGCTGAGTGACAAAAATATCTATAATGACGTGACTGTTTCCATGATTGAAAAATAGCATTGTGATCAGATGAACTGAGAATAAACTCTGACTACACAGACCGTAAACTAACACCTGAACTGCTGATACACAGCATTCATGCTCAGTTTATCAGACACAAAAACGACACACAAACAAACATGAAAGCGCAGAAAACGAAAGATAAGACGGACATGTGACAGACACTGTGTTTTAATCTGTGTATTATTATCATCATTATTATTATTATTAGACAATACAGACACCAAACTAGTATCACACATTTATATCACATGGATCATAATCCAGAATGTAATCACATATTTACACACACACACAGATTAAAATAGTTGCAGCGTCACACACACGGACAAAAGCACTTCAAATACCTTATGAGTGACCCACAATCCCGAAACCGACCCTCTGTCAACCAGGAGAGGTGATCAAAGCATAACATGACATCTACTGTATGTGAAAACATCTTTATATATACACAATGAACACACACACACACACACACACACACACACACACACACACACACACACACAGTCTGACTCAGAGGCAGCAGCATGTTTGTGTGTTAGAACCTTTGAGCTAAAAACACTGGGCACCTGTTCCCCCAAGCCCACCAGAGAAATTCTACCCCATGCTCACCCAGAGTGTGTGTGTGTAACTGTGTGTGTGTGTGTGTGTTTGTAACTGTGTGTGTAACTGTGTGTGTGTGTGTGTGTGTGTGTGTGTGCGTGTGTAACTGTGTGTCTATCCCACATGGACCCTCAGCGACATCACTTCCTCTGTAACCCGGCCCTATTTAAGGCGGCTGTGGAGCCAGAGGGGCTTCAGCAGGATTAAAGACAAAGTCCTCGCACTTTTCACACCAGCAGGCTCACCCACTGACCGACTGACGTTCCGGAAAGCTCAAGATGTTTCTGTGAAGATCCATCGCACCTATAAAGGCTAAGCAGTGCAGATTGTCGCCTGTTATCATCCTGAAGGTTTTCGAGTGAGAAGTTTTTAAGATTTAAGCTGAAGCCGAGAAGGTAAAGAGATTTAAGTCAAATTTTCAACCAGAAATTCTACGAGAAATTATTTTAGAAATTTTGGAACTTTTTACATCAAATCACTTTTAAACTTTGGGACAAGGAACTGTTTGAAATATTGGAAGAACCTTCGTTAAGTTGAGGAAACTTGAGACCACAAAAAACTGTTTCCTGAAACATCTCTCCTGGTTTTCTGTCATCATGAGCGGTGCAACCACCACAGTTCCCCCTGGGGAGCCCAAAGCCTTCAAACGCACTGTCCGAAAGATAAAATGTGCCGCCATGGTGGCCAATTTGGCAAAAAGTTGGCAGGGCTGGGCCAATGATCACTCTGAGAAACAGGACGCCATCCCGAGCGGCTGGATGCCTTCATCCGTGGAGGAGGAAGACAAAAAAGTGCGCAACCACATGGCCAATCTGACAGTAAAGCCTCGAGTAATCAAAGCCGACCCCACTGACAATGATGGGTGTAAAATCAGGGCCTGCACCATCACCAAGACCGTCCAGCCCAAACGCAGCGAGTGCAGCAGCAGTGATTTGGTTAACGCCATCCGAGGAAAGATGGAGTCTGGTCCCGCGCAGAGCAAGCCGTTCTTAGGCAATGAGTCGCCAACTCGTAGGCGCCAGATGAGAGCCCTGCAGAATGCAGAAGGAGGAGGAGGAATCATCCAGGACAGAAAGCAGATGCTGCAGGAGAAGAAACTCAGCTCCAGAAGCAGCAGCGTAGAAACCGAGGACAGTGGGATTGGAGAGGAGTCGGGGCTTAGCGACGACAACACACCAAAGAGTGAGGAGGATGACATCCAGCCCAAGAAACACACCTCCAGACCAAAGGTAGGGTTCGTCTCCATGGTAACATGAAAACAGAGAACGTTCAAATGTGGCGATTTAAGTTAAGGTTAAGTTTAAGTTAAGGATGGCAGCAGATGTTGCTCCTAAATCTGGAAATATTGTTTAAAACTGAGGATGCAGCATCTATGACTAATACTTCTTTGTTTAAAGGACAACTGGACTTACTTGAGATGTTTTGCCTAAGGGGACATGTCCCTGCAAGTCCAGTTGTCCTTTCCATGTGGTAATTTCCACTCCAGAGTCCTGTCTGTTTTCAATGCCCTGAAGATCAGGTTCATCCAGTCCTGGTTTTGGTCGTTGTCCTAAAGTAGTACAGAGTATTAGTACAGAGATTTCTCCTGATCCTCTGAATCTTTGAATATTATATACTGTAGATGATGAGCTCCACTTAGGAACATTATTCTGAAACTGTTGAACTGTTTGCTCACGCAGTCTCTCACAGAGTGCTGAACCTCTTCTATCTTTACTTCTGAGAGGTGGGGACAGATTAATCTTTATGTATTTCCACAGAAGTCTCAGAGCTCCAGTAAACAAGTTCAGTCAGAAGTCCTTGAGATGTCACCTGCAGAAACCCAACACCAAACCTCAGCACAGTTGCATAACTCCAACAGTAAAATCTTGGCCATAAAAGGCGAACAACATGTTGAAAAGGTCGTCAGAGATTGAGTCCAACTCATAAAAACATAATCTGCACTGCAGCGCAATAGAATCTATGTAAATTAAGACAGTCGTGGTCTGCAACGTGTTCTCCACTCTGACCTTCAGGTACAGCCTCAAAAGGGGGGACGAGGGGAGGTATGAGAGTGGGACTCTATGAAACTGTCCAATTAGATGAGAATGGGACTCACAAAGGTGTAGCTGACAATCAGACATGAATATGGTGGAAAAATATGGATTTCCAATTTAAGTAAAACAGATTTCTCGACAGTCTTAACACTAACCTTTAAAATCTTATTTTGCGGAGAAACAGGCAGATAGATACGCAACACTCCTGAGGATTCAATCAAGGGTTTCTCAGTGAGAAAAATATCCACTCCTGTAGCTACAAATTAGGCTTTTTATGGTGAAACTGAAACAATACAGTAAAGCTTTAACAAAAAGAGCAGAGAGAGAGAGAGAGAGCTCAGAGAAACTGCGAAATCAGGTGAATTTCAGCCAAAATTTTTGGTCCAGAGTTTATCAAGAATGATTTATTTGGCAGCTTTCAAAAAAGTTATTCATTCATAAATTAAAACTTCTTTTTTTTTTAAAGAAACAGCAGAAGAAGCTGAAGTAAGTCGTTTTTTTAAAGAAACAGTAGAAGAAGCTGAAGTATGTAGTTAAAATAAAAAAAATGTTGAAGGGATCAAGGGTTCACAGGGTTTTGTGGACAATCCCTCCATGGCATGTTCTCACTTTTCATACAGCAAATTCCAAAGTGATAAGGTGACACTCATCTGAAGGCTTGGCGAGCTGTGAAAAATGCCAACGGGGCGGGGGGGGGGGGGGGGGGGTCAGGGTGGGAGACAAGGTTGTATAGGAAGAAGGTTCTGATTTATAAGATTACAGAGGAGATGGTAAAAAGTTATAAAAAATGTTTTTTTTTATTTTCAACCCAAATGGAGTTATTCCTGGACTCCTGACCAATGTTATGCATGTTGGTGTTTCATAGGAAACATAAAGTAGGTCTATATGGGAAGGTCCCCAAAGGTCAAGATCTGGATCGAATGCACCAACCAGACGAGAGTATATTTTAAGATCGAGGGTCATCCATCAACAGGAATCTGCACGTTTATGTTCCTGGCAGCTCAGAGTGACCCCATAAGGCACGATCAGCTAGCTTCTGTTGCTAAGGGGAACTTCACTCCGATTATAAACACCATCAGTGTTTGTTTCCATCTAATAAAAGATACTCACTGGAGTTTGACTGTAAGAGGCACCAATCACGTTGTGGTCAGTATCCATGAAACCATCTGACGTCTTGTTCTGCAGACACCTGTGATCCAAAGCAAACCTTAAAACCTGTTTACGGAGGACTTAAGACATTTAAAAACCTTTCAGAGGGTTTTCAGGCCAGCCTAGAAGTGCAGTGCTTCTTTACACTGTCCATAAACACCATAAGAACTGTGATGCTGGGATTTTAGGGAGTATCTGAGTTATGATGGCAGCAAGAAGCAGGAAGAAGCTGTAGTGTCAAAATTACGGTGTGCCAAAAGGGACAAAAATGCAAATTTAATGTAATCAAATGTAAAATGCATTCAACATCTGACCTTGATTACATCAATGTGCTAACGCTCACAGCCCTAAAATGCCTTTACATTTGAGTGAGTCTGCAGACCTGCAAAGAGAATTTTAAAACAGAACTCAAAGTTCAGGTGTTTGGTCTTAAGTCCTGTCTTAAATCATGGTCCTGGTCTTAAATCCAAGATGCTGTAAAATGCATATATGCAAGTTGCATCTGCATCACTTTAAGTATGATGCCAAGATGCAGGTGAAGATCCTGCAGCAGGTCTTCAGGTGGTGGTTTTGGTTAGATCAACCTCTTATTTTAACCCCTCCTCCATTGTCTTCCTCCAGGTTAAGATTGCAACCACAAACGACATTAAAAGCCGCTGGCAGCAGTGGTCAGAGCAGCACATTGAGGGTCAGAAGTTGAACCCCTTCAGCGAGGAGTTCGACTATGACTACGCCATGTCCCAGCGCCTCCGTAAGGGCGACTCCGGCTACGGCCGCCCTAAAGATGGCTCCAAGACAGCTGAGAGGGGCGACCGAGCCCAGAAACACATCCACAGAGAGATGGAGGAGATGGTGTGGATTATCAGAGACATGAGCTTCAAGGACAGAGAGGGGAGGACTGTCATCACCTTTGGCCGCCTCTTTGACCGCTACGTGAAGATCTCAGATAAGGTGGTGGGTATCCTGCTGCGCTGCCGCAAACACAAGATGCTGGATTTTGAGGGGGAGATGCTGTGGAAGGGACAAGACGACGATGTTCTCATCATTCTGAGGGACTGAGGACAGACCTGAATTCTTATGAACAATAACACACCTGCGACTCTCACACCTCTGCTCACAGACAGAAAGAAAGCTCACAGTGACAGGAGGTAAAGGAGGTAAAGTTCAGAGGAGGCAAAAAACTAAAACACACAAGTCAACTTTAACTTCTCAGTATAAACAGCACATGGGTTTACACGTGGAGGCTAAAAACACCCAGAGAAACACACTCCAGACTCATTAGTTCCTCTCATATACCTGACAGATCATCTGATGAAGGGGTGCTATCTATAGCATGCTTATCACGATCACCTTGCTAGCTATGCTACATGCTATAAGCCTCTGGCATCCTCTGTAGTTACACAAGAGCTGGGCTCAGACTGCAGCTGAGGAAACTCTGGTTTCATAACACCCTGGACTACCGCCCGGTCCAATTAAATCTGGGTCAGAATGAAGCTGTCCGAATCATAACCAAGAGTGTCAGGGTGAGAAAACTCTCTTACTGGTCCAAAAGTTTCATCAGTTCACTTTTTCTGAACCACTCTCCATCTGTGAGCTGTGTGCAGACCTGCCTTAATCATCATATTTATTTAAATAGACTGAACACAGAGAGGCTGAGCTCGTTCATGTCAGTCTCTGATGTTAATCATTGTCGGAGTGATTGTTCTGACAGGTTTGACTATGATGACGTGTTTCCCCTCACTGTTACAAGTGTGTTAAATTTGTGTAAATGTTTCAAAGTGAAAGCCGGTGGGTCTTCTTACAGGCGAACGATTACGTTTTAAAGGCCATGCAGGTGTTTCATGTACAGGTTTTGGTTGTAAATAAACAGTGTGTGTAGGTAGAAACCAGTTTAGGTCAAAGCTGTGAAGTGAGGTTCTTTTTGCCGCATTAACATAGATTACATGGAGGTCAATAAAGTCTGGAAACTGGACACTCAAGTCTCCTTTTCTTTTGTAAAATATGCCAAAGACTGTTTTGCTCAACTAGATTAAGTGTCTGAAAATGGCCTTATACCTCGAAATAAACAGGATTTTGCAACAGTGGACATCTAAAATAATAACTTAAAGACAGATGATGATTTAAGTATGATTCTTGTGGCTTGGTATCTTCAACCTTTGGACAAAATCAACTGAGATAGTAAGATGGAGATTAAGATCATAATGATGCACTTTTCACTGTCCACGAGTGTTTCATGGACTTCATCTCTTTCAGTAGGTTCTGCAGACACTATATATGCGTAACAAAAAATGACTAACAAAATGTTCAAACAAATCCAAATCCAAAAGTCCAAAATAACAAAAGAAGCAAAATCTAAAGAATCAAAAAGACACTGGGGAAAAAAAATCACAAGGAGACTAAGGACTCAAAGATTGTTGATCACATGGACCAGGCAGACACAACACACACAATAAATCAACAAAGACAGAGGAGGCCGTCTCCGAATTCGCCTACTATGCGAGCAGTACGTCCTGATTTGCCCCAAAATTTAGTATGCAATATGCAGTAGGCGAACAAATGCGAAATTTGCAGTTTGCCAAAAATACCCGGGTGACGTACTGATACAGGAAAATTTCACAGTATGCGTCGGACCAGTCTGCTTCACCTACTGTTACCCACAATGCAAAGCACCTGGGCAGACATGACATCTTCTGTTACCATACCGTACAATTTTTATCCCCTATTTCCATCGCCTCAAATTCTCCTGCTTCTCCTCATCCTTTATACTGTAAAGTACGCATGAAGTTTACGACACACAGCACATGCCATCAGCGATGTTTACATCACACAGCTGGACAGGCAGCTGGCATTGGAGGGGGTCTAAAGCTTTAATCCATAAAGGTAAATAAACGTTAAAGCAGTCTGACTCAATCAGCAGCCAAGACGGTATTTGAAATAAACTGACAGGAGACAGGAGTTTGTAGAGGGTTTTCATTGTAGTTGTCAAGCTATAGGGACACAGGGAAAAAGGACCACACAGTCACCATCAGTTAACACATATAGTGAGGATTGCAAATTCTTTCACTTGTTTCACGCAAAACGAGGTCAAAATAAACATAACTTAATTTTGCTGTATTTACAGTGCCGTGATGAGAATCAAATGCCGCCAGATTGAGGAGTCATTGCATAGACAGAACACGTTTCAAAGGCTGGTATTTGGCTAAGAAAAAAACTAAAAAATCAAATTAATACACATCGAAGATATGTATTAATTTGAAGTGCGTAAATGAATGGGCAACACTGTAGTGTTGTTGCAATTTACCAGGGTACGATGTACTTTTCTATGCCAGAAACCAGCTAAACCAGGCCAAGCATAATACATAATAACAGCTGACTTGAAGTCATACTGCATACTACTACTGAACACAGTATGCAGTATGCAGTACGCATACTGCATACAGCCTCTGTTTCTGATGTAGTTAGAAGAGACTTAGCCTTAGAGATTTAATGTAATAATAGTACATTCAAATTGAAGGGAATAATTGTGTTCAATACATTCTGATATTTACTCAAAAAGGCATCTCCGATAGAAAACTATTTTAATTTTTAAAATAATAGCTGCTACAACTGTCAGACAGGTTTTTTCCCAATCCCAAGAATCAATGTGAAAACAGATATAGAGAATAAAACACAGAGAATGTGAGGGGAAATAGGGTCAGACACAAACTGAAAACTCACAAGACAGGACTACAGGGGAACAGGAACACTCGGGATCAGAAACACTCAGGAAAGTACACTCAAATAACAAAACTAGGAAAAAAACTAAATAAACAGAACATATGACAAGAAGATTTAGGTTTGTGGCTGGATTGACCAGGATGTTGTAGTTCCCCTAAACATAGTGGATCCTGGAGGGCTTCACTCAACTGCAGATAAAATTTGTGTAACGAAGTGAGGCCCAAAATTTCACCTGCCCACATACTTACTTACTTACTTACTTACTTACTTAGGCCTTTGTATTCCTTTCGGAACATAGGCCACTGATGAATCGCTTCCACACTTTTCTGTCTTGGGCCATCCTCTCTAGCTGTTTCCACGCCAGTCCCTTCTCTTTCACTTCTTGTTCTGTACTCCTTCTCCAGGGGCCTCATGTATCAACGCTGGCGGCGCCAGAAAACCTTGCGTCCGCCAAGATCGGCGCAAACGTCCAGATTTATCATCGCGAAACGAGCGTCAGTTCCAGCGGTAACCAACGCAAAGTGAGGAGGTGGTGTAGAAGTTGGCGTTGAGCCGATACTTGTGTTGACGGCACTTTGGCGACACTGTGTGGCGGTGTTTGGTGACTCACTATGTGACAAGCGTGCACCACATCCCCGTGGCCGAGCAGCACGTCGCCCCACATGACGAACCAGCAGCAGACGGAGGGATGCGTAAGAAGTGAATACACAGTTCAATGAGCCAAATTAATTTATTTTCGCCACCAGACGCTCGAGGACATTTACGAGCCGGTCCAGCCACTCGTTGATCCCCGCGATCCCCTTGATGATTTCTTCCTGCGATTGCAGGACCGCCTCCGTGAGGACCCTTCCACTGGGTCCGGGTGGTCCAGCGGAAGCACCGCGGCTGGTGGACGCTCCACCCCTTGTCGGCGCGCTGGTGCTGATGCTGGTGCTGGTGCGGGGGCCGGGGTGGCCCGAATGCCACTGGTCCTGGCCGACGACTCCGAGCCGGCGGACGGGCTGCCGCGGGCCGGGGTTCTGCAAGCCGGCGACACGGCCGACACATTGATTTCTGTGACACAATAAAAATATTGGTTCATTTCAATTCCTGCTTCTGTGTATCTGTTGCGTTTACATCTCTCTCCACGGTATCATAGGTAATGTAATCCAGTATTTAGAGGTCAGTTATGCACATTACAGTTGTTTATTGCATAAAAAGTTATCGAAAAATGAAGTTAAGGGCGAAGTATAAATCACGTCTAAAAATAGACTGAATCCCGACGTTGAAATGAAGTATAAACTTAGACTAGACGTCTAATATACGTCTTTTGCTCAGTGGGATGGCAAAGCATGTGGACATTTGTGTGACACGCCATTTACCCTATAATAATAATCGCCACCACCCGCTGCTCAAACGGCGTGAGGGTCTCCTCCCCCGGAACCCCACCTGTCTGGCCGGTACTCCTCTGGAGGGCAGCTGTACGCCGCTTGACCTCCACCTTGAGGTCCGACCACTTTTTTTTTTATCTCCGCAGGGGTGCGTGTCTCGGAACCCACCGCGTTCACCCTCTTGCAAACTTTCTCCCACTCCAAGCGTTTTCGTTTTGCACTGACGCCACTGGACAGGCTGCCAAACAAAACACGCTGTCGCTCCTCCACCTCCGCCACCAGCACCTCCACCTCGCACGCCGTAAATTTAGTTTTTCTTGTCATTTTATCTGCGTGCGAGGACAGGGAGACCCTATTTAAATAAATCTGCATATTTATAGGAGGACGTAACGGGGGCGGGCCCGGTCACTCCGACTTCTGCGCTCAATTCCAAGCTGATTGGGATTTATCAAGGAAACACACGTGGCTTTCGGCGCCCGCACACCTTGATACATACGGATTTTTTTCAGCATGACGGACCTTGCGTGCGCTCGTTTCTGGTATGAGTCCCACGCAGGTGTTGATACATGAGGCCCCTGGTGTTTCTGGGTCTTCCTCTGTTCCATGTTGTGGGTTCCATGTTAGTGCCTGTTTGGTTATTGCAGTTTTGTCTTTCCTGAGTGTGTGACCAATCCAGCTCCACTTTCTCCTTAACAGCTGTACCTCTATTTTTTCTTGGTTGGTGCGTTCCCACAAGTTGGTGTTATTTATGCGGTTTGGCCAGATGATCCTGAGGATGCATCTTAGGCAGTGGTTAATGAATGTCTGTAGTTTATTGGTGGAGTCATTGGTGGTCCTCCAGGTTTCCGATCCATACAGGAGTATGAATTTGACATTGGAGTTGAAGATTTTGAGCTTGGTATTGAGTGAAAGGTTTTTGGTTTTCCAGATCTTGTTTAATATGTTGAATTTGATTCTTGCTTTCTCTATTCT